AATATTATTCTTGTAGTTCCTGGTGAGCCACACTGACTGAATTTTCTCGTACTGGATTTCAATTCTTTCTTATTTTGCAGTATATCTGATGATGGCCATCATTGTTTTGGGCCAGAATTTTGTGGCAATCAACAACCTCAATCAGATTATGACCTCACTAGTGCATTGGTTGCTTTAGGTACCCGTCCATTTAAAGGTAGATTGGAGGTTTATCCAGCTTGGGCGTTAACTGACTTCATATTCCAGTTGCCTGGAATCAAAAATGAAACACTGCATTAGAACACGTAGAAAGTAATAAAACATTAACAGCAGCGTATAATAAATACCGGCTTCTTTATCTTTCAGTTAACAAATTGTAAGAAACAGTTATAGGCTAACACTGTATACACTGTGTATACTGATGCAGGTTTCTCTCCATTTTAGGATTTATAAATACTTGCTGCAGTATTCTCCTGTACTAGGTGTTGCCACTCAGGAGAAGTCAAAATTTCTCAAACTATTGTAGCATATTGTAGCATATCCTCTGTATAATCTGTGAATATCTAAGTTTCTGTACTGACTGATTAAAACGCCTGTAAAAACCAACAATGCTACCCTTCTGTTTCCAACCCAGCTGCAGCAGCAGCAATACAATGCACCAGGTTTCAACACCGGCAAGTGGCAGAAATGGCGGCTAGCGACAGCGGACGTGACTTTGTCGTACGGTATGGTCCTCATGATCCTGTAAAAGTTATTAAAAAGGAGAGGACACATGCTACCTTTTGCCTGGTTAGCCTTGCCAGAGTCTTTGCTTCCTTTGTTACTTAATTCATCCACATGGTTTCTATTACTTTTGTTAACCATTTTTATGAATTAGCTCAGGTTAGCTTAGCATATTTTACAAGCATAACACACAACAACATTTGAAACAAAAGAAACTAATCAGGGATATTTTCTGTTCTTCTGGACACATTACTGACCTTAGAAAAATCAGAAATAATGAGCAAAAGAAACATGCCGATGTTAGCCTGATCAGTCTTGCTAGGATAGCGATCTCATGACACCAACGGAAACAAGGCAGACCTATGGTGTTCATAAAGTTTGTGTGACTGAATGGCAAACAATTTAGTATTTGTCATGTCCTCTGCTGACAGTATGGTTAATTTTAACTTTTGTTGGAAACTAACCATAAATCAGTGTTCTGCACTTGGACAATTCGGCCGCTAAAGCTGCAGATATCTTGCACTACTTACTTCGCCTACCATGTTTTCTCAACTGTGGAAAACCTGCTTAAGAATAACTGTAACAAGAACATTCCTATCACCCTCACTGTGCTGATGCGTGGTGTTGAAGGCATTCACACAGGCAGGACCACAAAGATTCCCAACTGCAAAATATGTGAGACTATTAGTAACATCCACTGTGTGCTCGACAGAGGACCCTCTGCCCATGTTGACGACAGAGAACGGCTTCTCTGGCTCCGGCCATGTTGTTTGATCTGAAGTTCAAAACTATGTTCTTACAGCTTTCAAACGACAGAGACTTACTGAATAAATGGACCAGAAATCTGTGTGACATAAAAAAAATCTGATTCACTGTTTCAAAATAAAGATTCTCATCATATCAAAGAGAAGAAAAAAAACCTCTTGTTTTAGGCTTATTTCCTCTTAGCTTCTCGAAATGTGTTGTGCAATCCGCTTGTTTATGTTAATTGTACAGTAAGTTGGAAGTCGTGTCACGGGTTGATTGTGGGCTGTTTCATGTAACCTGTTAAATATTTTGCTTCTGGGTAATATTCATGTTGTATGTAGAGGGAGGAGCAGCCAACATTCGATGCGCTGGGTGTCATGACGACACAGCACTCAGAAATATCTACATGTAAGTAATGTTTTATTATCAAGGAGTATCTGGAGAATGTTGTGACTGTATTAAGGATGTAATGCAGAGGATGAGAGAGGATTAGCAAGAAGCAAGGGAGGGAAGCTATGAAGAGGATGAAGAGTGGAAACGTCGTTAGTCTAGATGACTTGTGTAGAGAGGGGAATGGAGTTTTAAACAGGTTTGGACACGTGAGAGGACGACTGAGGAACAGAGAAGGTTGATTGTTTTTCCCTGATTGGTTATACCTCAAAAGTAGATTATATATAACTTAAAAGGGTTTTTTTTTTTTCAATTAACTACTACTTAAGTACTCAGTAATTAAGTTCTGATCAAATTTAGACAAATGCCATATCCAGGGTCACAAAAGAAATATTTTTAATCTAACAACTTAAAACCAAAAACCAAAAATCAGTATTGATTCGGGTTCTTGTTGACTAAATTAAGAAACTACATGTATAATTTTTATATTTAACAAAACATGTTATGCTGTGATCAGGAAACATGTTGGTACAACTTTAAAGATATTCTTCCGTCCAGTAAAGGAAACTTTTTTTTAAATACTAATCAAGATTTTGTCTTTCTTAAATAAACAAACACAAAAAGAAAATCTATGCTCAACCTGTTTTGTCTTGGCAGAACAGACATCTCTAAATCATAGGTGAGTAGTTCAACCAGTCAGTATAAGACACATTTTCAAATCCTACATTTGAGACAACACTGCATCGGTAGACTCCACACTATCAGCTTGTTAGTTTCTTACAATTTCTTTGAGCTGATGTGTTAACTAAAGGCAACAGAAATTGAGAATTAGTGTAGGCTTTTAGTTTAAGCCCATAGGACTCAGTCAGCACCTAAGATGCAAATATCCTGAGCCCACTTTTGACCAGATTTGGTTTCACTTTGAGTGAAAGTCATGGATTGGAGATTATGATAACAAGCATTCTGGTTTCATTCTTAAATCAAAGGTGGCGAATCTGAGACGGATCGGAGAACAAACCTCTGGACCTGACAGTGCTGCAGTCATGGGTGAGTGGGGCTTCATCGGTGGATTCTTTGATGCCCTCCAGACAGACTCGCCAATGCTGGGTCGTTTCTGGCTCGTCCTCATGCTGGTGTTTAGGATAGTGATCCTGGAAACCGTGGCCAGTGACATGTTTGAGGACGAGCAGGAGGAATTTACCTGTAACACCCTCCAGCCAGGATGTAAGCAGGTGTGTTACGACGAAGCTTTCCCCATCTCCCAGTACAGATTCTGGGTGTTTCATATAGTCCTCATCGCTACACCTTCTCTGCTTTACCTCATATATGCAACACATCAGCATCACAAGAGAGCCAACCGCTCCTCGTCGAGAAAAAAGACCAGCAGGGAGAACAGAGAAGAAAAAGCTTTAAGGGCACTCTACATTATCACTCTGATCTTCCGCATAATGACAGAAATCGGCTTTTTATTTGTCCAGTGGTATCTCTACGGCTTCAAGGTGGAGGCCCATTTTCCATGTAGTCGTTCTCCCTGCCCCCTAACAGTGGAGTGCTTCACTTCTCGACCTGCAGAGAAAACAATCTTCCTCCTCTTCTACTTTGCTGTAGGGGTAGTATCAGCATTTTCCAGCATTGTGGAGCTTCTCTACAGCTCTAGGAAGTGGTTTTGCTCAAATCAAAAGCACTTAGAACTAGATGACCACTGTGACTGCGAGAACCTCCTCAACCACAAGCCAGAGAAGACAGAGGAGAAACCAGGAGAAAAGACAAGCAGTGTGCAAGTGAAGAAGGAATCAGTGACAAGCACCTCCAGTCGAAAGGCCTCCAACACTGGGAACAGGACCAAGAGTCCAAGAGGAAAATATGTGAGTGGCTCGAGGCTTACAGTGTGAGAGGACTCTGAATCACACATGCTGCTATCACTGCATCCTCTCTTTCTATTATAAATTTGTGACACATTTCTAATTCCTTCGTGCTGTTTCACTTAAAATTGAAATGATGAATAATTTCACAGTTAAGGAATTTTTCCATGGAACATATCACAAGGAAATGCTTAAGATCAGGAAATGAGCAAATGCAACAAAATGATAAGACGAATGCGATGCATTGTTGACTTGTTGACATTGTTCTGGTAAATGATAAAATGCTGTAAACAGTTCAAGGAGGAAACATTTTCTGGATTACACTTGATAAACTTGTTTAACGCTGTTTGTTTGGACCTGTTGCCCTTTTGTAGCTGGACAGAGGCAGGAACTCTAACTCAGTTTTCTGGCTTTGTATCTTCTCTGGCAAGTTAGCTGCTAACAGAGAGATAGCTTATTTTTTAATGAATGACTTCAGACTAGCTTAACACATTTTCCAAAATAACAAATAAAAAACATCTTAAAGAGAAGAAATTAATCAGGAGCACTGCAACTGTACACATAGCTTTACACTTTACAGGAGCAGGAGTGTTTGCTAGTGGTACCCACACCTGTAGTTCAAGTAAAAAAGTGAAATCCATTACACATCTGTGTGAAATAATATTGGGTAAATTTCAGAGGTCGTTTAAGCATATTTATTTGCTTCTGGACACATTCCTGACCTGTAAAATCGGACACATAATATAATAGTGGAATACACTGACTTGAAACACCAAACATGCAGGACTTGAGACACTCAAACCACCTGCACTTAATTAGTATGAAATGTAAAATTTTTTAAATGCATATATAACAAAAATAATTTAATAAAGTAATTACATATTTGTGTGTGTCACACTGACAGGGATTCTGCCAGCCCTTCACCATGCTCAGGTCAGCAGGAACTTTATAAACTACATGTCCGTGAAGGTTCTCAGTCATCCAGGTCATCATAGTCTAAGGAGCTTAGAAAGAAAAGTGCCTGGACTTCTTTTATGTTGCTTGAAGACATTTCACCTCTTATCCGAGAAGCTTCTTCAGTTCTAGGGTCAAATGGTGGAGAGTCCCAGATTTAAGCCCTGTGGGAGTGTCCCCCCAAAGGGACATGGAGCCCCTAATGATCCTCTACCTATCACGTGAGCCAAGGTGTGAAAATGGGTGTAGGTCACAATCATCCAAGATTTTGGGTGAACTCATTGTGGAACCTAGCCCCACCCTATCATGTGATTTCCTGAGGTCAGAAGGCTCAGGATGTGAGTGGGTCTTAAGGCGTCTGGGAAGGGATCTCAAAACTAGATTACCGATGGCAGACAGTTGGTGTCATAAACCACCGCCTCTGTTCAAAGAGGGGCGTTCAACAGTGGACATAGATGGCTTCTTTCAATCCTCTTTCAAACCATCTGTCTTCTCTGTCCAAAATCTTTTGGACAGAGAGGACAAACTCCTTAACGCCCACTCACATCCTGGGCCTTCTGACCTCAGGAAATCACATGATAGGGGCTAGGTTCCACAATGAGTTCACCCGAAATCTCGGCTGACTGTGACCTACACCTGTTTTCACACCTTGGCTCATGTGATTAGGTAGAGGATCATTAGGGGCTCCATGTCCCTTTGGGGGGGGATACTCCCACAGGGCTCAAATCTGGGACTCTCCACCATTTGACTTTAGAACTGAAGAAGCTTCTTGGATGAGAGGTGAAAGGTCTTCAAGCAACTTATAGAAGTCTAGATGCTTTTCTTTTCAAGATTTGCCGGTTTTGTAGGTATATTAAACTGACTTTAATAAATATACACTTATTCATTTGTTGTACTTTTTAGACCATTTTGATGGAGACAGTTATTAACCTCTTTGTGGCAGGCAAGGTAGAACCTACACACAGGACTTGGAGACAGGGGAATAAACTAAAGGAGACAGCTTCATTTGCTGTAACAAGAAACTGTAAAACAAAAAATACAAAATGCAGGCCAGGAGGAAACCAGGAAACTGTAAAACTCGGAACTTGAAACTAGGGATAAACAAAGGAAACACGGAAAATTGGGATGATGTGACAACAAGCAGAGGTAGACTGAGTAGAGTTAGAATTTTGTTCAGGATAACGAGAGGATGGGCAACAGAAGGGAACACAGCTAGAACTAATGCATACTAAAGAGACAGAGAAAGGAACACTGAACAAGACACACACGAGATGAGGTACTGTCAAAATAAAACAGGAAGTGACACACACTGAGTCAAAGACAATGAAATGTGAATTTGGCACTGAGACCACGGTGGACAAGCGTAAACAAACACTGGGACAAGACTGACTAAATACAGAGGCGAGCATGAGGGACACAGGGAAGGAAACCAAGATACAAGAGAACATCACACTGCGCTTTGTGGTCAAGATGACAGAAGAGAAGCTGAGGGAGGCTGAGGCCGCCGGCCTCCATAAAGTCTTCAAGCTTCAGAGCTCCCTCACCTGCAACTCTGTGGTAACGATTGCCACTTATTTGCACACATTCACAGCAGGATGAATAAAGTGCTTTTCTATGAAATCCCAAGAATTTATTTACATATTTACAAACCATGTGAAACGTCAACATTTTTCCATTTGTTTTTCAAGTTCTATTTAGCCATGTGGGCAGCCAGAAAAAGTACGAGTCTGTGCAGGATATCCTCAAAAATTTCTTTGACTTACAGATGAAGTAATTTGTGCTGAGAGGACAGGTTGGCAGGCGTCCTGGGAGCAGAGAGTGCCGAGGTTTAAGTGGTTTTTATGTTTGTTTTTTCTCCATATCCAGTCATAAGTGCATCTTGATATTCACATATGAAAGTACAACTGTAGTGTCCCTGTAGCACAGTCATATAAATTTTGCTACATATGTTTTGCAAATTTTAGTTTGCATACTTTCAACAACATGATAGAAACTGCAGAGTCCTGCACTGGTATGCTGCTGGACTGTGGGAAACCAGGTGCTTAGTCTTGCACGGTTATTAGAGCATATCACAGCACTCAAAAGCATTGTCTGTCATAAATAAGTTATGACGTCAGTAAAATAACAAATTTCAATTTAGATTTTTGTTAAAGTTCACAAAGAAACACATTGCTTATGTGCAGCAGCATTAAAGATGGGCAAGCAGACCGTTCTTCACTTCAAAACTGCTACCAAGAATTATAAATTATGTGTTTTGTTTGATGAATTTTAAGAGAAGATAAAGGTTATGTTACAATACACACAACCTATAGGAAGATGGCTTAGATAATTGGAAAGACTCAGTAAGTTAAAACTAACTAAAATAAAGGGACTCTGTTCTATAATCCACTTGTTAGTGTTTCGCCTTTACCTGTAAATATTTTTTGGCTGGTCATGTTATACCTTTAAAAAACACAATTTTGACTTGCTTACATTAATTATATGGTTTATTTGAAGTTGTGTTGCTATTACTGTGTTACTATTGTTTCCTGTTTCATGTCACTTGCCACATATTTTGCCTCCAAAATCAGAGCTCTGTAGAAATATTTAAATATTTACGTAGGGGGAAACAAGGAATATTTTGTTGTAACTTCAGCAGACAGCACAGCTCGAGTTTCATACCATTAACATGTTTGTTTTAAACCTTAAACTTCTTTTAATAGCTTGTCAATGCAAAACTACTGGAACATTTCTATAGCTAACAAAGCCTGAACTGAAAACCAATGAGCTCTTTTGATTTTGGTGATAGCTGACTAAATGAAGAGGAAAAACATTCCCAATTTTTTTCTTTTTACATGCAGCCTCTCATGCGGTTACCAGGGAAACTGGTGGACCAACTTAAAAGAGATATTTCCTGCCATTTAGGAAATGCTCATCAAGAGTTTGCCTTTCTTGGATAAACACCTTCTGTCTGGGGCTGGATGGACACTGATTAGGACGTAGCAGGAATTTCCTGACAACTGTTGCCGCCCTTTCAATCATAAGTGCCAGCCAGCCTTAGGAACATGGCACTTTGGAGAGAGCTATGGGTGAGTACACTATAAGATCGTGTGGGCATGAGAATTGACCATTTTTTATCTGGTTTATCTGAGCTTATACATGGTAGGAGAATTTTAAGGCTTTTTAAGGGGTGTAGGTCATTCATTTTTCTAGATACTGCAGATTAAATCCTAAATCAAATGTGTGCTCGACCTTTTTTATTGTGGCAGCACATGTGTCTCTGACTGAGCAGTTCAACCAGCCTGTATATGTCAATGAGAGTCAGCCTTTAGTAATCAAAATCATTTACAAATCCTGTATTCTGCAAAACTGCATTATTAAACTCTACAATTTAAGTTTGTCAGCTTCCTAGAAGTTCTTTGAAATATTACGCTAACTGAAAGCAAAAGAAATATAGAGATTTATTGTAGGCTGGTGATATTGTTTGATTCCTTTAGTGATGTCCTTGAATTACTGTCTTTGCAGGAATATGAACTCAATCAACCTAAAGTGCAAAAACTATGAACCCACTTCTTTTAATCACTTTTATTGGGTTTAGTTTCACTGTGAGTCATATATGGGAGATTATAACAAGAATTTTAGTTTAGTGTTTTTAAACAAAGGCAGCGTTTGCTCTGAGACAGACAGGTGAACAAGCCTCCAGACTTAAAAGAAGCCAGACCTGACAGTGCCGCAGTCATGGGTGAGTGGGGCTTCATCGGTGGATTCTTCGATGCCCTCCAGACTGAGTCGCCGATGCTGGGCCGTTTCTGGCTCTTCCTCATGCTGGTGTTTAGGATAGTGATCCTGGGAACTGTGGCCAGTGACATGTTTGAGGACGAGCAGGCGGAATTTATCTGTAACACCCTCCAGCCAGGATGTAAGCAGGTGTGTTATGACTTAGCTTTCCCCATCTCCCAGTACAGATTCTGGGTGTTTCATATAGTCCTCATCGCTACACCTTCTCTGCTTTTCCTCGTGTACGCTACACACCAGCATAAAAAGAGTGCTAATCCCCCCCCATCGAGTAAAAGGTGGAGCAGCGAGAACAGAGAAGAAAAAGCTTTAAGGAGGCTTTACATTATCACTGTGATCTTCCGCTTGGTGGCAGAAATTGTCTTTCTATTTACCCAGTGGTATCTCTACGGCTTTGAGGTAAAAGCCTATTTTGAATGTAGTCGTTCTCCCTGCCCCCTGACAGTGAAGTGCTACACCTCCCGGCCTGCAGAGAAGACAATCTTTCTCTTCTTCTACTTTATTGTAGGGGTGATATCAGCATTTTCCAGCTTTTTTGAGCTTCTCTACAGCTCTCGAAAGTGGTTTTGCTCAAACGACGAGGACAAAATCTACTACTGTGACTGTGAGAACCTCCACAACCTCGAGAAAGAGGAGACACAGGAGAAATCGGGAGGAAAGACGTTGTCAGAGAGCACAGCCAGCAGTGTGAAAGTGAAGAAGGGATCAGTGAGAAGCAGCTCCGGTCGAAAGGTCTATTGCAAGTGCAAGAGTCCAAGAGGAAAATATGTGAGAAGGAAGATGCTTATGGTGTGAGATGACTCTGCAGTAGCACATGCTGCAATCAAAGCATCCTCTATTTTCCATTTTAAACTCACAGCAACATTTCTAATTCCATTTCACTTGAAAGAATTTCCCTTTTTAGGAGTTTTTACACACTTCAAAAAAAATGCATGGAAGCTAACCCATCAAATTTCAGGAAATGAGTAAAGACAGCACAGATGATAAGAAGGACAAGAAGGATGCATGTGAGACATTGTTGACTTGTTCGTTCTGGTGACTGATTAAAGGCTTAAAGGAGAACTTTCTGGAATTCACTTGATAACACTTGTTAAGACTGATTGCATTTTGTGTTTGTGTTGTTCCCACTTTAAAGGACAAATCCGCCCTGAGGCAGCGTGTGAAGATTAATTTATTTAAGCAGATCTGGAAAGTGAAGTAAGGCTTTGTAAAGGGAGGCATCTGTCTCTATCCAATCTGTAATGTTGGAATTATTTCAAGGTAGAGTGACCAAATTCCCAGCAAAGTAAATGTGAAGACAAAGTGAGATGCTGGGAAGTAGTCTGAAATTTTCATGTCTACTTTAAAAATACAAATACACCAAATTCTGCACGTTATCAGATTGTAGGATGTACATGCAAACTCTGTTACTCGGAATATATCGCTGCTTCATTTCATTCAAGGTAGTTTCCATCATATTCACCAAAATCTGCAAAGCTTTTACTCGACTTGAAGCCACTTGTGAGTATATCATTAGGCGCGTTAACCTTCTGACTATCAGAAAAAAACTTCCCTTCTGTTTCAAATGCCAGACTTCAGAAAAGTGCACAGCCAGCAGTACTAGTCAAAATGTGTGTCATTGTCTCAAGATGTAGGGGAGGGGTACAAGGAATAAAGTCGCACATAAAGAGGGACATCTGGTCACCCTGTTTTTCAGGGTTTTTTCACTGTGTTTTTGAGTTTCTGACAGAGATTTAAGAGTTTCTATAACTGTCAGGGGGCTGGGTCTCCATTTTCACTTCTGTTGTATTTTTGAGTTCTTATGTTATATTGAAATAGTGTTAAGTTCTATTATTATTATTAGTTTATCTGAGATGAATTTTAGTTAATATTTCCATACCCCTTGGTTTATATATCATGTTTCCTGTCTAGTCTGTCATGTGTTTCATCTTTATGTGTCCACATTGTAAAGTTTGTGTGTCATGTCTATGTTCTATTATGTTTCCTGTTTTATTTTGAAAGTCTTGTGTTTCCGTGTTCAGCGTGTTTAGTTTTCCTTCCCCTGTGGCATCATGTTTAATTGTGTCAGGTGTGTTTCCCCAGGTGTTTCCACTTCCCTCATTATCCTTCTGTGTATTTTAGTCCTTTGTCTTCCTCTGTTCAGGGTCCGTTCTGTCAGAGTAGCTGGTGTGTTTGTGAAGCAGACCCAAATGCAGACACGGGAGACATGAACTGAGGTTTAAACACAAAGCGAACCTTTATTACAGCTGATACACAAAACAGAAAAAACAAGGCGAGGGGAAACTAAGATTAACTATGAAAACAATGAAAAGAGACAAGAACATATAACTGAACACTGAAGTAATCCAAACATGAGCATGTACATTAACCTGAGCAGTTGACTCTGTGACGGACCCACACTGAACAGAGGACTAAAACACACAGAAGGATAATGAGGGAAGCGGAAACACAGCTGACACAAATGAACATAGAGTCACAGGGGAAGCAAAACTAAACACACTGAACATGGAAACACAAGACTTTCAAAATAAAACAGGAAACATAATTGAATGTAGACATGACACACGAGCTAAAAGTAAAACCTAGCACCAGCACTTTACTTAGCAGATCACAGACTGAGGTTATTCACTCGGCTCATTACTCATTACTTACAGTTAGTCACAAATTAGTCTCTACTCACTGATTATTTTTGTTTGCTGATCAGCTTTTCAGATAAGTATGCAGTACATGACTGTGATACAGTAATTGTGTTTTTGTTCAAAGCAAATAAAATCTGCTTTCATCAAGTCATAGCTAACTTATTTAATAAAATAAAAATATAATTACATCACGGTTTCCAACTCTTGTGATGGAGCTTGTAACTTTCAGTTTGTTTGTTTTGTTTAGTTTTTCAAATGTGTGTTGTTGTTTTTTTAAATGAATGGACAGTCGATATGACTGTAATTGAATTAAATGAGGTTATTAAAGCCATATTGTGATATTATTGTGAGGTACGCCTGTCATGGTTGCCTGGTATGTCTTTATGTGGGGTTCATAACTTGTGACTAATGGTTTTATCAATGGTTAATGTAAGATTTGCTGACATTCTACGGGGCCAACTCACTCCACCCAGTGTGGGTTGACTGGAAGTGAAAAATCCACACACTTCCTTTCTAGAAAAAAAAGCCTTAGAGGACAAACTCAATTTAGTATAAGGAATGCATTACTCGCATTCATATCTGCACTGCCTTTTCCCAGTCGATTAACCTTTTTTTTTTAAAATTCATCTTCATTTGTAATCATCTGCTAACCAAAACCACTGGTTAAAATGTCCAAACCTTCAATAGAGGGTACAGTCTACAAAAGTGGTGTTACATTTCTTAAAGGATGACTTCACTTCACTCTAACTCCTATTTAAAAATGCTACAGCATCCTTAAACAACAAAGATCTCAAGTGGAGTTTAACGAATTGAATTTCTCCTTTTGAAGTGGAGTATTTAGCCTCGATGGCTGGGAAACTTTCAGAGGAGCACACCAGCAGCAGGCAGCTGGACTGGTTGCTCAGCTTTTATATTTGTGTCTCCGACACGGTCGTGAGCGAATGAATAGACTCTTTGTGAGTTCAACGGTGTTTCCTTTTATTGATGTCACAACACATTTCACTATTAATAATCAGACACAGCAGCTTTTCTCCCGGCGCCCTTTTTCAAAGGATATCGTAGTGTACCGTCAATAAGTTGCTCTAGTGCCGGCACACCACACACCACGAGACAGCATGCGCGCCGTTTCTGTTTGTGGCCGAGGATCATGGGGGGTGAATGTAATCATGTCATAAGAAACAAGGTCTGTGGCATTTTTCAGAGTCGTTGCTGCGCAAGTTTGGACACGAACCTGTTGTTTTTGTTCATGAGTTTATCGTGCTGAATTTCATTCAGTGTGCAGTCAAAAAAATTGTTATGTAAAGCCTTAACCCTGTAATGCCAAGAGTATCATATTTGATACATGAGTTTTTGTGAGTGTTCGAGACCTCTGCATCATCACTGTGGATTTTCTTTCCTCCTGAAAAACCTAAATAAATTGCACAATACATTTTAAAGCAATAAATTGGAAAAAAAAAGATTTATTAGTTCATTTCTTTTTTATTTCATTTGAAAGAAGGTTAAAAAAAATGTACATTTCTGGCAGTTATTTCATGGTTCAGACTTTAACGGTTTAAAAACGTTACCCTTTGCGATCATCTGATCTCAAAACTGCTGTTGCTGGGTGTTTTTTCAGTTTGCCTGTCTCATTTTAGTGTCTTTGTTGTAGCTCCAACACTGACTCTGACGTAAATACTTGTGTCACATGCACAGGTGGTGTAAAATATTCTAATCAAAGCAGTCTCATTTGATCACCGCTCAGCTGCACAACATGAATATTAAAGCCCCCCTCTGCTCAGGAACTTGATTTGCTTGCTGTTACCTCACTTGGATGTTTGACCTTGACGGTACGGGCAGTGTATGTGTAAAAGCTATTTCTCTCATGTTCTTTTGAATGACAGAGATGGTTTCCCTCTGCTCACCTCAAATTTCTGGCAAGCAGGTGTTTTTCCTGCCAGGATTAGTGACAAAACTGGTTTGGGACACCAGTTGTATAACAAAAACTTCCAGAAACTCCAGACAGTGAATTTTTGTGCCCTGCAGTGTAACCACTGTTGCATAATTATAAGTTGCGTAATAATGATATAACTTACCCTCAGTGCCGTAGCTCCGCAAACGCACATAACGCACACTGCGTAGGGCACCAAATGGCCGGTAGGGCACCAAAAAAATCAGGGTCGTAAAAAAAAAAAAAGTAAACCATATTAATACTATAAATATCATATGCATTAATATGGTTAAACAATACAAAAGCAACATAAAACAATTTTCCCGAGAAAAGGGG